TGAGAGATATGAATTCCAGCCAAACTGGGAGCAGCAATGTCAAGTCGGTTCTTCCGTACGGGTCAGAAACCTGTACTGCGTGTCACGAAAACGGTTTCCAACAGGCCGCAGACTTCCACCAACAGCTTCCACCTTCGTTGGCTCCATACTGAAGATCAAATGGCCAGTCAAAAAGAATTAGTGACAAGAAACTGTGATAACAAACCAACCAAGGGCCAATCACTCAACAAATATGTAACAGAAAGTGGAGATAGATCGGGCATATATTGAGGACGCCATCGAATGACATCGTACGCCAAACTAATGCTCCAGTGAAATCCAAAGGGTAAACGACGAGTGGGTCATCCTAGGGTTACTTGGAGGAGGTCTTGTGAGGAAGAGATGAGAGAACTTGGTCAAACGTGGACCCAGTTGAAGAGGATGGCAGAAAACAGAACGAAGTGGAGATGTATCTTTGAAGTCCTATGCTCCACTCTGAACGCAAGGGAATAATAATAATAATTAAAGTTCCTATATCAGAAATACCAATGCATAGTCTTCCTAATGTAAATAAACTGATTCTGAAAGACTATCAGTAAATTTAGATGCTAATTTTAGGCATGAAAATATTTTATGATGCCTTGATTCAAAATGCTCTCTAGGTGATATTAACAGTGATAACTGACTCCAGTGCAACACATTCAACAGTAATTCTTAGGACTGAACGAAGTATGGATTCCATAGTCTTCAACTAATCAGGTAAGATATCATGTGAAACTATGGAAGTGATATTATGACCAAGTATATTGCCAGTGCTTGCAGACAAGCCTATAAATATTGATGATAAACAACTTTTATAACTTTATTCCTTCTTCTAAGGTATACTGGAGATACACTTACTGTGTTGAAGTATAGGAATATCCCTATTTCTTCACATATATAGTTCAGTTGAATATTGAGTTAGAAAATGCACATAGTGAACTGACACTGTAAAATACATTGTATATACTATTGGATTCAAATATTAGCATCTATGTAGGGCCATTTCATTAAATCCTGCTTTACTAACCTTTGTTGCTTGTTTTTAATTCGTATCGGGAAATAAATGTTTTCAACTCATAAGAAAAGTATGGGAGAAAAATAGCACTGGTGCATATGATCACCATAATATATTTGGGAGAAACTCAAGTCTTCCACAAGAAGAAAGTAGAAAATCTACTGAAAATGGATTTGATGGCTATTCAAACATAAAAATATGATCAAGGATGGACTTTCGCAGTTCATGGATTGGGTTGACCTAATCAAGCAAAATATTGAGTGTATTAAATACTAATTAGCTTGAGGTCAAATGGTGAAATCAAATCTTTGGACTGGACTCAGCCAGATCACCGCAACACAGTAATTTAGAAAAAACATAAAATGATATATTTTTCAAGTTTTGATTTGTAGGGATTTGATTTTTTCGAGGATTGATCGCGAGCCGGCATCAGTTAGAGAATTAGTGGAATTTGAAATGCATGGACCACTGGGTCAGCTCCTAGGGGTTGAATGGTATGTGGGCTCATCTTGCAACTGGAAGGTCTCGGATTTGCCCCGTTGTGTGCGTATTTATGAAGAGTCCGTAACTTGGACGAAACAGCTCTTCAGCACTTTCAGGTTTTCCAATGGTTATTAGCTTGTGATGTTACCTGATATACTTATCGCTAAGACACGTAATACAGGAGTGATCTGAATCATTACTAACATTCCCTAGCTTATGCATACACGCTAGTGTAAGATTGGATAGAAATACTTCAAAAGCACAGATGTACATGGAATTTATTCATCTAACTAACTAGCATCCAAAACAAGAAGTTTAAATAACGCAAAATCAGCTTTAGGCTTCTGTTACCACATACTCTGTATATGACAATCCTGAATAAAACAGACTAACCCTCTTAGCGCGGTCTGTTTCAAAATAATTTCATTGCCAATAATTTATAATCACATTACATTATCGAATTCGAAGGTTAGTCAGTTAATTTTTTCTAGTTATTTCTTTTAACCAGTATTGAATGAGTCTTGAAATATCGCAGTTTTATCTCTAGCACGACACTATTTAGCATTTGAAACTGGATTATCCAAAACTGACCTACGCTTAAGACTCTAATCTGGCCAAAAACATGGGTATACTTAACCTTTTATTGAATTCCGGTTATGTTTAAAAAGCAGGACACTATTAGCATTTTTCCTTCTTCTTAGTTACCTAATTCTAACATTATGTGTAGTCAGTGATAGCTATTTTTAGCACTAACGTCTAACCAGTCAGTGTTTTTATATGATACAGAGATTTAGAGTGTCATCAAAGCCATTTTAAACAGGCTTAAGACTTTCAACAACACCTGATATCACTCCATAGTGAAACTCAGATGGCTAGTCAAAAAGAATTAGCAACCAGGAATTCTGACAACGAACTAACCAAAACTATGCAGAATGAAATCGAAATGGATAGGGCAGTATCACGTTCCATTGGAAACCAAATTAGGAACGACGAGTCTTACATAGGTCCAATAGTGACATGAGGAAGGTTGTCTGGGGAGGAGAAAAGAGCTTATGTACAGTAGTAGTATCAGTCTAAATAGACTGCAGAGAAGAGGGGGAGTGGAGATGTGACGCTGGAGCCTTATGGTCCATTAGGAACCCGTGGGAATACTTACGTGATAGTTATTAACTACAGGTGTTTCAAAAGGTTAAACTTATGGGTAGTATGATGCTAGTTCTCTTACCATTGTTTATGTGAGCAGACTGGCTAAATATTCTAAAAACACGATTTCCAGCCGTCTTACTATCTGGTTCAACGGTCTGACTAAACGGATCGATGTAAAAAACACACACACAGTTCATTAAAAAAGGGGGGATAGACACGTTAGGCATGGATAATTGGGTTGCAACAACACTTGGCTGATCCGGGACAGGTTGACTTGATTCAAGGATGCGAATTGAATTGATCTTACAATGAGCTTTAATTTAGTTTGAGGTTGATTAGTGTTGAGAAATCTTAACTGGATTTGGTTGATCGTACTTTGGGTGTGGTACTAAAGTGAATGTAAACATTTCTAGAGATTCGGTTGAGCACATAAGTAATTTAAAGGGCAGATAATCAGACTGAATAGAGTGAATGGAGTAAAGGTTGCTCGAACTACGGTATTACTGATATACACATACATCCATGCACCCAGTCTCACTGAAATAAAAATTAGTTACACGTTTATTGAACAGATTAGTTATGGAAACATACCTATTGCATACAAGCACATTATTCTAAAGTTTACTGTGTGTAAATTAATAAGAATAAATATTTCAGTACACGTTTAGAGAGTAAAATTAGGCAGAAAACCTTCTGATTCATAAATAAGCGAGTAATTTTATAAAAATGGATAGCGTTCGACGTTTCTTGGTTGATCCTTTATTTCACCAATTCCACAGGAAGACACAATTGTTACTCGTTAAAAGGATATTCGTAACCTATTTATAGTTTGTGAACCTCTAGCTGTCTAGAATATCTTGAAAGAAAAAGTTATATCTGTCATTAGTGGGGTTGAACGTCATATTTTCCGACAAAAATGCCACTGGTTATCGCTTTTTGTTTCTGACTAACCACGTTCTGTATGCGATTTCCAGAATTAAAAATTAGATGTCTCAAAAATCTACGTTACCTTTAAAACTGATGAAAGTATTCACAAAAGTTAGGACTAATTTCCTATTCTCACTTTGACCACAGTACAAACACAATTCAGAAAATTCAACGAAACTGGATGTCAGCGATTACAACCGTTTCTAGGATCGTCACTTCTTTAGTAACCCCTTCTGTACCGGTAAGATAATTGCGTCTTTGTTTTTTTAGACTACATTCTTAATTTTGAATTATTAGAAGATGAAAGCAAAGTGTTTCTGCGTAGTTACATGCTGTTTTAAAGTCAATAGCACAGCGGTAGAATGCTCGCCAAACTCCGCACATGTGGTCCGGGGTTCGATCCCCGGCTGAAGCACTCCCAAACCTCTCTAGGTCTATAATAGGACTAGTAAAGAGGAAAGGTTGGACATGAGACTAGCAACCCTGTCCCATATAAGTAAACATCACTGCTAGCAAAACATCAAATCTCTAGCGTGAAGCCCTATTTTCTACTGGGAAAGTGAAGGAAAAATAATAATAAATAATAATATGCTTTTTAGACAACTCTTATTGAATTTGACTGTATCGGGTAGTGGGGAGTATTCAACTGCATATAATCAAAAGTTTACAAAGAAATCAACTGCGCCTAATTATTTATTAAAAAGTAATTTTCATTTTCCAGTTGATTCATTTAACTGAAATGCTCTACTTGTGTTGACTTATCGGCTCCTAGTACGGATGCTTTGACAAGAACTGAGGAGTAGCTTGAAACAATTTGGTTGATGGTGACTAGCACTTTGTCCATTCCCGGAGTTGTCAGCTGTTACAAATGAAAGTTACGGTGTTACCACTGAGGCTCAAACCCAGTACTCATTGTTTCAAACACCAAAGATTTATCACTAGAACACTTAGGCTTTGGAATTTGAAACGATGGGTAGTGGCTTCATGTCTCAATGGGAACTCGCTTCCTTTCATTGAGGATTGCAGGTGCATCCGGATGACGGATCTCAGGTAGGACAAAATGAGCATCCTGAATTCCACTGCTCGCCACCATCCACCTAGTACAGCCTGATGGTGTTTGACTTTAACAAGCGAAGAATTTTATTTTCATTATTCTACTGAGTAAACTTTCTAAATTCATAAACTAGTGAATTTCGTAATCAAGTATACAGATTTGATGACGGTCATGGGGAAATTGTATGATGTTATTCATTTAAATGAAATGGCTTAATTCGTTTTCAACAGCAGTATTTACAAGATATCTGAGTTCTATTAAATTTTCACTCAAGTTCTAGTAATAAAACGTAAATAAAAGAGAACAAAATCATTTGAATACATATCTATTCTCTTTTTTAATATATTCATTCAGAGTGCAGCTCGTAAGCATTTTAATTTTAAAACACTGGACGGTGTCGATTTGGAAAATGAAGGTTCTTTAGCCAGTGCTGGATCACATTTTGAGGCTAGAATTTATGGTGTGAGTTCAAAATCATTTAAGTTATATCTTCTTGGAACTGAATGCAATTAGTCTGTTATCTGCCAATCTAATCATTTCCAGATGGCCAAAATGAGACTCAGGAATATAAATGCAGAAAGGGTTGAAATAGATATTGGAATTCTCTTTTGCGAATGTTTAGATTAATAATTAAAGGCTATTTCATAATCAATAAATAATATGGTGTAGCACGTTGAGATTCAATGCAAAAATGCTCTACAGTCGTGTAGGAGGTCCTGGTCCAACTCTTAGCTGATGCACTGTAGGATTACGCCCCGTTAACTAGACAACAGTAAGTCCCGGAGAGGGCGAAGGTTTGGTATGAGGACAGATATCGTACCGCATGTGAAAAACACACTACTACGAAAACTGAAGTGGAATATATCTCAAAATTTACCATTTCAACATATGTGACATAGCCACAAACAAACTATAATGAACGGTTTTCATTTAATAATTTTGCTTCCAATCCGGAGCTAAAGCTTTAATGTTAGGCACACAACGATTGTCTGATAATTTGAATTTCTCTTCACCGGTGTATATTTAAAAAACTAGTGTAATCATCTCGCAAAAGTGGTGGTTTCATTTAACCATGAATATGTACAAGCTGTGAAGTCTTCATTTTTCTAAGTTACATAATGCTAAAATGGAAGCTGAGAGGTGATAAGAACCACACTAATTAAGTGTAGTAAATACAGTCTGAATAACTACAAATATTTCAAATTTGATTATGGAGTGATATCAGTTATAGAACAATTGAAAACAAGAGGTATGGGATAGCCGTCTAGTCCTGGTCTGGGACTCTTCATCAGTACGCAACAATGACCTCACTGGGAATGGACCTCAGGATATTCGAGTAATGGCCAACATAGTTAACCCGTCAACTACAGAAACGGAATCCAATGACATACTTAAATCATTTAAAAGTTAGATTGATGGTAAGAGGCAATTGGCAAAAAGGTTTGAATATAGGTTACACAGCTGTCAGTAAGGCATATTTTCATTCATGAATTACCTCGTGTACGTCCTGAAATACCAAATTGGGTCACCCAGTATTGCGGTCTGATACATAACCATTGAGCTGTCAGAGCTCATGATTGAAGTCCTGTTGGACTTTAATAGATACTTTGATTTATGCGAACTTAATGATAGAATTCAGTCTGCACCGACCAAAGGACTAGACACATGGTACCAGTTACTACCTAGTGCCAAAGCAATGGAATATAAGGCTGTAATCATTTAAACTAACGGTGGAATGTTTACTCCAGTGATATCTACTTCTAAAATATATATTCATCTATACTATTCATTGCATTCAAATGTTCATAATACTCATCAGGATGAACTTATGGTTGCTGAATTACAAAAGAAGTCACTGATCACACCAATCCTACTGGCATATATGAATGATACTGGGTAACTCTAAATTAAAAGTTTCTTTTTAAACTAATGTGAACAATTCTGTTTATGTGATACTTCATTTTTTCAATTTGACGAAGACACGTTATAGGTACAGCTGAAAGCTGAAAATTTCTTCATGAAATGCTAAAGTCAAAATCAGCCATAGTTATATGTCAAATGGATGGGAAAGTTCCAGAACAATTTCTGGTTAGGGGTTAAATTAATAAAAATTACAATTAGGAATTAGAATGCCATAATAAACAGGGGTATGGGTAGAACTCAAACAAAGTAGCATAATAACTAAGATGATTGACATTGTGCAATTGGGGGTTAGAAATGTAAAAATAACAAAATATACAGGACGTTTGGATAAGAAACTAGTGTGGTGAATAATTGTTTATGCAATCAGGGATTAAATATGTAGAAATAGTAAAATGACAAAATAAACAGGAAGTGTGGATATGAAAATATGGTAGTGTAGACAGGGATTAAGAAAACTTAAAATAACATGAATAAATAGGAAGTTTAGATAAGAAAGGCGATGAGATGGTTATTATTAAAAAACAAAAAAATTTTACCTGTTTACTATGGCCATGGCAGGGACAGGGGTTGGATTATGCCAAAAGTGAATATTTTTTATTGAATTTAATTTCGACTTTCGAGTTGATTGATTGCATCGAAGGGTTTGACCTCTGTTGACACATCGGCTCCTTCTGCTGGTGTTTCTGAGCACTTAACTTGAAGCAATTTATTTAAAAATTTTTATTCCTTAAAGTTCCCAGTGGAACATAGGGCTCCCAGCTAGAGGCTTGAAGTTTCGGTAGCATTGGTGTTGATTTTTACGGGATTGGTAACTTCATGCCCAAGCCTTCCCTCTTTAACCAGTCTCATTGCTGCCTTAGCGAGGTTTGAGAGTGCGTCAGCCGGGGTCGAACCCCAGACCACATGCTGCTTGGTTGGCGAGCATTTTACCTCTGTGCCGCCGACGCACGTATATATATATATGTTAGGACAAATCTTGTGTTTGATATTCTTGTCTAGCCACGTCTGAGTCATGAACGGTAATCAAGGTTTATGCGGTTTTACTTATTTCATTTTCGATAATGACGATAATTTTGCTGACAATTATACAAATACATTATTCACTAAAAATCCTCATTCGAAAATTATCAGACAGAAGACCAGTGGTTCAGTCTTTTTTCGGGGAATTCATTTTCATAACAGTACAATCGCAAATATATACATATACATACGGTTGTTTTGTGTGTGTGTGTGTACATTAAATCTGACAAACGAAAATACAACTAGTAAGTTCAGATGAATTGGATGTTGGTATAAGAGGGTAGTAACAAAAGTGATGAGTTGCCACAAAAGATTGTTAAAGAAAAGTTAAGTAATAACATGAATAGTTTGATGAAAGAGTTGTACTCAGGGTGTACAAGGAAACAAAATAACTTACGGAATCACGCAAAAGTATTAAGTAGCTAGAAAAATAAGCAAACAAGCAAAAGTCAAGTCAAATCAACAGAGTTGTTACCATGATGGTTGAAGTGGTTGAATAATTTTCTTTTGTATGCATAGTTCTGGTTCGTCTAACTGAATAGTTAGTGTTTCTGAAATGCAAAGAATACAATATTAACGTATATTTACGTTGGAATTAATCATTTCAATTTCTCTGAGACTTTATAAATATGTTTACTGTTTATAAGCTGAGATTTTGTATACTACAGTTTAATATTACTTAAATGAAGTTATCAGTATTAAATAGCGAAATGTCAGAAATAACAACAGTATCGTTATGTTAGTTCATTCATTGGGAAATACAAACGTTTTATAATAATCACTTTTTATTATTAATTATGTAGCTGCTTGTAATGTTATTATTCCCTTGGGTTCTGAGTGAAACATAGGGCTTCAACAACACATCTCCACTTTGTTGGTATCAGATGGTTGGACCGTAATGGCGAGCCACCTAGCATGGTGGCCACATTGCAAACATGACTGATAGAATTCAGTCTGCACCGAAGATAGGACTAGACACATTACACTAGTTACTGACTAGTGTTCAATCAAAAACATCTCCACTTTGTTCCATTTTCTGCCATCCTCTTCAGGTGGGTCCACGATTGCCCATAATCTCTTCCTCGCTACACATCTTCATTTCTCTCGGTCCACTACCATCACTTCTAACTGCTTTCAGAGCCATTAGAAAGTATTCATTTCCTCTTCAAAGGGTGTTTTGCATGTATGAGTTGATTCTACTTCTCACAAGCTATGATTCATATTATTCAGTAATCACTTAACTTCCTAGAGGAAAATTTACCCCATTTTTCAAAGAACCTGGTTAGTAATTGCTTCTTGAATTTCTACCCTTACGCTACTTACTATGCGTTTGCCTTGTAACCGGAAAATCCTGGGTTTTAAACCCAGATAGTAAGTTCTGCCTATGAGTACCGAACTAGGGCGAAACAGCTGTAGAGTACTCACTGTCAGCTTTCAGTGGTTCGCTAACTAATATCAATCCCTGATGAAATATGAAACAAATCGAATCCCTACAAACTAACTCTTGAAAATTAATCTGATACTTGCTAGTGACTGGCTGCAGGACGAAGTTCCCTGGAGTTCTAGTGAGAATTCGTGACCAGTGAGGACTATCAGGTCAAAAATGAGGAAAATTACTCGCCAGCGATGAAATTGGCTGGTGCCAGTAGCACTAAAATCAACAGTTGGTAGAGGTTAGAATTCATAGACTGGCCATTGAGTCCGATCCTATTGGCTGGTTGATCTACAAGTATGCTGTGTAGCTAGATGATCCTGAAATGGGCCCAGGCGGGTGCTTATTGTCGATGAGTCCCAAACTAGGACGAAACAAGTGTTTGGTACTTCAGGGTGCTTTTCAATGGCCCTCTAACTGATATCAATCCGTGGTCAAACCTGATACTTACTAATTAGCATAGACTTCTATTTATGGGAAAATTAACACTAGACTTTAATGCAACAGAGTATAGGAAGAGATTCATAGCTGAAGCTTTTTTCAACCGAAGACAAGTGCAATAGGAATGAATCAACACCTTTCCCAGACATCTGGGAAATTCTACCAACATTGCTTAAAACAAATAGGTAAGAAGGATGAAAACTTTAAAAATCAATTTCTGAAGCTGTGTAATTACAACTAATATTGTGGCGAGTACTACTGATAAGATTTATCAGTAGTATATGAAGAGACGTTCATCGGCATGAAAACATTGAATAGCGGGCAGATACATTCGATTTCAGAGAAGGTAAATGATACAGCGTGTGGAGATACATGGGAGACGTGAAAGGAACACAAAGAAACACAATATGGAGTCCAGAAGTACCACAAATGGTGCGTTGATGATAAGGTATACATAATTTGCCTATATAGAGATAGCAATTTCCAAATAAACATTCCTCTACAAAGCCTTCGTCTTCTACCGTTTCAGTATGATTCTGAACAATAAACTGTATTTGAAATTTTGTCATTCAAGGGATAATATTTTCTAATTTTGATTTTAAGGATAATTATAGGTTTCTGGAACTGTTTCAGTTCTGGTTATATATGTAGGTACTTTTAAATACGCTATCCAATACCCATAATATATATATATATTGATAGGCAAAAAGAAAATATGCTTTTTTACCAACTGAAGATCTCCATTTTATGCTAGCGGTCATCATTCGAAGGAAAATTCAGATCCATATGAAGAAACTTATGCATACAAGACTGAGAAAAACCGATCATTAAAAAATAAAAAAGATGTATATTTACAAGGTTTAATTATCATCTACGTGCTTTAACAATACTAGTGTTAATGAAAATTCATTATTGAAATAATAGAGAATATTTGTAGCTCAAGTGGATGATTTGCAACTAGTTGTGTTCTCTAAGCTGGTTGGTTTAATTACGGAGCCATAACACCAACAAGAAACCATCATCAAAGACTACAGGAAAATTCATCCTACCATATACAAGAAATATCTCTGAAATAACAGCTAGAATATTAAAACCGTTTGAAATGGATATAGCGCGCAAGCCAGTCAGCACAATCACTTCAATCGGTATTGTGCAAACCGAAAGATCCAACACAAAAGGAAGATAAAATTAATACCATTTACAAAATAAATTGTATGAACTGTAACAGACATTACATCGGCCAAAGTGGGCGTCGCCTTCGAATCAGAATCCAAGAACACAAATTAGCTGTAAAAAGACATGATATATATTCCTGTTTCATATCAATGCATGTAGATAATTATGGACATCACTTTGATTGGAATAATTGCGAAATTTTAAACAGAGGAAACACCAAAAGTGCCAGAGAATTCCTAGAAGCCTGGTACGCAAGCGAATCAGCGATCAACAAACATGTTAATATAGACCAAATTTACCGACTAATAAAAAATAAATCAAGTGACGAGAAAGTTCAAAATCCAAGTCACTAAAAAATGATCAGTACAGATATAAATCGACTACCAGTCACGAAAATGGTTGTCAGGAGACACAATTCTATCATTCATGGAGAAGTCAAATGAGTTCATTTTATGCTAAACCTTGCGCTGACGATGTTGTCCAGAAGGATGAAGAAAGCTCCGCAATTAAACTAACCAGCTCAGAGAACACAAATAATTGCAAATTTCATTATTGTTTGATTGCAGGAAAATAAACATAAAAATGATACGTAAACATGATACAAAAGTTCCAGTTATTCACATCGTCACTGCAAATGTCGCAACTATAGTTCATAAAGATAAAATCTCAATATCCTCATTTAGAACAACCGTTTTTACTTTGTAAAATGAACCCATTCATGAGGGTTGTTGACCTAGAACACCTAATTACAATTCAAGGGAGTGAGTTGATTTTGACCCACTTCTGATTTTTCTTAAGGTCATATTAAAATGCATACGACAACTCTTGTTTACAAAATAATTAACTTCGTATTGTTTTGCATCAATCCTTCCAACCCTTCTTGACCCAATTGAGATAACGTCAT